TTGGCCTTCTTAAGTTTGATGAATCTGATTAAAGGTCAAATTTCAAGTCTTGAGTGTTCCGGCTTGTTTTACTTGCATTTGGCATTCTGCAGTTCAAGTCGAAAGTGAAGCTATGGTTTCATCACTGTGTACTAGAGAGAAGTTTTGAGTCATGTAATAAAGTCCATTCTCTTTTGCAAATTCTACATAATTTTCTGCAATTAAGATTCTATGGTCTAAAGAAGTAAATGAGTTAGATTATGGCATTAGTACTAAAGTCTAAGTAAATTTATGGAGCACTACTGTTTTAAAGAAATAGCCAGGCCAATCATGTAATTAATTTAGTTGTACCTGTTCCACTAAAAATAAGATTCGCAGAAAGGAATTTAGCTGGATTCTACTAATCTTAAAACAACAAGTCGGCATAATTTGGAAGTTATGGAAAACCTAGACCAGAGACATTCTCATTTGCAAGATCAAGAAAAAGTGAACTTTAACAATTGTTGTCTGAATATAAGCACTTGTTTCCAGACGTGCCTTCAAGGACAAACAAAATTTTTCACGACGCTGAAATAGGAAATTCGAAACGCATGAAACAACACCCATACAGTAATATATAAAAAAGTGATTAGTATTTACTGAACAATGATTTTATAGAGGCTAGTAAGAGTGAATGGAGTTCACCGTGCGTTATTGTTTCGAAACCGGAAAAAATTTTCGAATGTGTACGGATCATTTCCACTGCTAAGAATCGTTGATTTTATCGACAAAATTTGAAATACCAAATGCGACCTTCTGAAGAACTTTTTTTGGCAACAGAGATGCATATATTGACGTCATCATTTACAACAACATAATTTTCAGTGCCTATCAATATAAAGCAGTTGACGCGATTTTTAGGTATGGCTGGGTACTCTCGCAAAATTTGTTCTAAGTTTTCTGATGTAGTTGAACCTCTGACAAACTTGTTGAGAAAGAAAAACAAGTTTTCTTAGACTGAAAAATGTCAAGAGGCTTTCGATAGACTAAAACCCATACTTGAAAGTGCACCAGTTTTAACAGCTCCAGATTTCAGTCAGCCGTTCAAACTATCTGTAGGTGCGAGTGATGTTGGGGTTGGAGAAGTTTTGCTTCAAGATAACCAAGATGGTGTTGAACACACAGTATGTTATTTCTCTAAGAAATTGAATAAACAATTATTCAGAAAATCGAAGCAAAATTAGCTCCTCTAACAAGACATGTTGTTCTACATAGGCATACGTCGACATACGAACAGACAACTTCTTCTAGCACGAAAATACCTTTTATAGGGATATATAAGTTGTATAACTGACTTTACGACTCTACGACTGTGTATGACTCGACTACGACTGTCTGTCCGTGACTGCAAAAGTCTTACAAAAATCTCAAACATATAAAAGAAGCTAATACGTTGTTTAAATTGCACGCGCACGAGGACGCATGCAATTTCGTAATACTTCTGGTAATTAGGAAAGCCTGACCCAGTATCAGCCAATCATTTTCATAGCTATTCCTAAATGTTTACTTGTAATGGATTTCTTATCATACACAGCATGTGCTCACATTAATTAGCCACATTTACGACTCAAATAAATGTGATGTTTTTGAACAACATATTAGACTGATAATATAATTATACTAATTATATTAATAATTACATTTAATGAAATAAAAATGAAATAAAATGATTTTTACAGAATTGTTTCCTTAACATACACAATTAAACTACAGGGTCGTATATATATATATATATATATATATATATATATATATATATATATATATATATATATATATATATATATATACATACATATATATATATATATATATATATATATATATATATATATATATATATATATATATATATATATATATATATATATATATATATCTTTGACATTTAAGGAATTTATATAGGCATATCTGGTTGCTTTTATTATAAGGTAAAAAATTCAAAATTCTGACTTAGCTATTTTGCAATTAAGCACTTAACGCAAATATAACATTAAACATTAATTTCCATAATTTCTTTAATATTAATTGTGAATAAATCATGGAATAGGAAAATATCCTGAAATATGCCAGAGAAGAATAGAGCAATACGAACGTTTTCACCTACCGAGATGAATAGGTTTGAAACAGGTATGTTAAAATCATAATTACAATGAACGTTATACAACACATTTTGCTTGTAGCACAATAATCATGAAACAGAAAACACACATTGATTAAGTAAAATAGAAATGTAAAAGCAGTGGGTAGACAAATGTTAAAGTTGGCGCCAATACTTTACGACAATCAATTAATTAAATTTAAAAAAAACGGGTAAATAAAATGAGTTACTATATATTTTAATAACATATATAGTAGTTAACCGAGTGAAGAAAACAACAGATAAGAAAAGAAGGAAGGACGTAGAGAAGGATAGAGAATAGTGTTTATATATATATATATATATATATATATATATATATATATATATATATATATATATATATATATATATATATATATATATATATATATATATATATATGCTTTTAGAGTCCTGTTTTGTGTGTAATAGTGGCCCAGACAGCTGCTGGTCTTCGTACACTCTTCAGACCTGTAATTACCCAAATAACTACTGTATCAATGAGATATACAACCAAGATAACGGAACAAAAATAATTAGTAGAAGGTAAGAAAAAGAAAACAAAACTGCAATCAACTTTTTTAAATAAAATCAGAAGAGATGAAAAGAAATTGTTAATTTCCGTTTCTTATAAATGTCTCTAAACTTCCAAAGTTGTTAAGATCTCCCGCCTTTCTAAGCGAAAACAAAATAAATGTGTAGCATTATATAATGCATGGATACTAATTACGAATAACATAACGTCCCTTTTCATAGCAACTTATGTTATTTATTTGTACAGAAACTATCTTATCACCAAAAGTCGTCATCATCGTAATTAATCATCACCATCATGGTAATAATAATAATAATAATAATAATAATAATAATAATAATAATAATAAAAATAATAATAATAATAATAGTGACTATAAATTATTATTATTATTATTATTATTATTATTATTATTATTATTATTATTATTATTATTATTATTATTATTATTATTATTATTATTATTATTATTATTATTTTAATAATAATAATAATAATAATAATAATAATAATAATAATAATAATAATAATAATAATAATATTAATATTTGGAAATATACATGTATCATATTAAAAATGCATAATTTCAGATGCGGGACTTATGATGAATGCGTCAAGGAATGGTTGTATACATATTCAGACGATGACAGATGCACAAACCTTTCTTCAACAAAGGTTTATAATTCAAGCTTTGTTTGCAAATATTGCTGCACAACTGACAAATGCAATCTCCTGCCAGTCCCTCCAAGACACAGTCTCTTTGTGAATGTCTGATAACTGAACTTACCAACCTAAACACTACATTTACAGATGGTTCCTCTTTCTTACATTTTAATCTTTATAAAACTTTTATTGACAACAGAGAACAAGTCTAAAAATTCCTAATGTTATCAAACGACAGACGAGCGTGATGGGTTTGGTTCCATTCGAGGCAGAAACAAGACTTAGCAGATGTTTTATGATATTTGAGAATAAATAAAATTAACCACTACTTTGTTGGTTCTCTGCTTTTTCCGTTTTGTCTTCTTTATTTGCTGAACAAATAATTGGACTGAACTTTTTTGAAACAAACACCATTAATATAAAGCTAAGGCACAGTAACAGAACCAAGATGGGGGACAACTTCCCATCAAATTCATGAACATAATGCTTCAAAAAGATAAGAAATTTCCAAGTGAAACCTAATGTCCCAAACTCAGATGCAAGTAAATATGCTTGATTCAGTAATAATGAATTCTAACACAATCCATAGCTAGATATTAGCTACGCAATATGTTGTTAATAAACAACAAGAGTTTTGTTATATAGGCCCTAAATTCTATTTCAGAGCAAGGTCGACCAAACAAAATTATATATATATAAATATAATTATATATATATATATATATATATATATATATATATATATATATATATATATATATATATATATATATATATATATATATATATATATATATATATAATTATATTTATATATAAATAAATTCAATTTCAGAGCAAGGTCGACCAAACAAAATTTTATATATATATATATATATATATATATATATATATATATATATATATATATATATATATATATATGTATATATATATATATATATATATATATATATATATATATATATATATATATATATATATATATATATATATATATATATATATATATATATAACATTTATTCACGGAGAAAAGTAAACTCACAACACAGATTAAATATACATAATAAGATGTACATCCGTAATAAAAACCAAGCTGAATAGGTTTATGTTCATATCAAGGAACAAATTAATTCTGATATCCAAAATACACCTCTTCACTAACATCTCCCCCAAAATGAAAACGTCTTAAACAAGCAACGTCTAATAGAGTAGCTGTATTAAATCCCAACTATGATATACACAATCCTTGTTAATAACAAGGATTATTAGCAAGAAAGGTCAGGATAAACATTTTTTCTAAATTATGAACACACAAGAAACTCGAAGCGTTAGATAAATGCATAAAATGAACATTTTTGCATATATTAAATTCTCATCCAAGATGTGATATTAAACACTCTGTATGTGTGTGCATGTACTATTTAGATTGTTCTCGTAGCTTTAACAATTTTTCTGTCATATTGCTACGATGTCTGTGGCGTGGCAGTGTATAGTGATGTCAACACTGGGGCATCATGCCGCAGACATATAGCATAGAGAATGATGTCCCACTCAGTCACATTATCCTGACAATAGGCAGACCAGTCCTAAAACTAATCCCTTCATGCTGAGCACCTAGCAAGGCAGCTGTTAGTACCATTTTGAAAAGTTTTTGGGATGGCACGGCCTAGGTTCGAACTCAGGTCTTCCCGCCTCCGAGGCGGATGTTCTAACCACTAGACCACTTGAGTGTTTATCATCATATACTAGAGTGCAAAGAAGATGGATTAATTGAGATTGCGGAAAGTATCAAAGACTTTATTCCTGTTACTGCCAGTCTTGGGCCTCTTTCAATGAACATTTGTAAAAATTTCCTCATCTCTTTTTCGAAGGAAGACAGGATATGGTGCCTTCATGTACAAGGATTTTGCGTCGATAATGACATTTTAGCTGGTTTTTATTAAGAGATCATAGCGATGTGCCAGATACATTCTAAAGAAATAAATTTAAATCATATAGGCAAAAACATTCTTTGTGAAGTAACTATGCAATACACTTTAGAAAGGAAGGTATGTGATTACAAACACGGTTATATTTATGAACGCTAACATAAAAGTACGGACACAGCTCATGCATCCGAGACTAGGAAACTCGACCTTCTGATACCTTATTCTTATAGTGATTGCAAAAGTGGACAGACCCATCAAATGTCATGACTGTACACACACAATTATATTTGATCACTTAATTTGAAAGATGGTCACCATGATCAATGTTGGATAATATTGACTATTACCCTTCCAGATGAATGCAGTACCAAGCGAAATAACAGCATCAGAAGCACAGGGCTAAAGGCGAAGAGGTTACGTAGTCATTGGAGCACAAACATTGGTTAAATGTGACCAATTTTGTATTTTAGTAGATATTTTCTTCTGAGATGAACAGTCACGCTTCAGAACTGCATATGCGACAATGACTAAAGCGAAGGTCTTCACGTACACAGTGTAGTTGAGATGAAGGTATTCGTGGTTTGATTTCGGTATTTTAATATCTCATATAGGAACTGAATCATTTTCATTTAGCTTTCTTTGTATACATAGACCTTTCTTTGGATGTCATGTTCGATGAAATTAGAGTCATATGTATATTGAGGTGACCCATACAAGAAATGTATATCCTGTCACATCTGGTAATGCTGATCCGAAGAAAATAATATATTACGACGAATGGATATACTAGCCAATGTTAATGAAACCTGGATAACGCACACAACATACCAATTTCAAAAACAGTGGTGAATTTAAAAACAGGTGCGCTTCTTTTATAACAAAATACTGTTAAAAAACACGCCAATAATATTAAAGCGCTGAAAGCACCTTAAAATTTAGCGTTAAAGGCTGAATGGACACTACCAAGTTTGATCATCTTGTCGTTATGAGGTACAGCTTTTTCTTGGTATCGTGAGTGCAAGGTAAGAAATGTTGCGATTATAGTCCGCCTGTCGCATAAACCGTATCAAAACAGTCCAAAATTGCATAGATAGTGTTATGTACATCTATGTTATGTATCTAACATTTGTCATGATTGCAGCTTTGTGCAGTAAATGGAGCTTTGCAAACCTGAATTTTTTAGTCATGATTGTAAAAAGTAAACAAGATGTTTATGGAGCATAAAGTCAAGGTCGGTCTTGTTTGCAATAAGAGTGAGTCAAATAATTTTAATTGATTATGATTGTTTGTCAGAAACATTCTATTGCGACATATGGTGTTTGGATTAAAAGTGGAGTCAAAATAGAACATATCCTTAGAAATAATACTATAGGTAGCACTTTGATATTGCTATTGAGAGAAGAACATGTGCTTGGACGGTTCAGTGATAAAGAGAGTGCTCTGTTTTTGACTAATAATGTTGGTCTGGAGCTAATGTGATAATGCCATTGTGATCAATTCATGATTCCTGTTGCATCTGTAAATTTCAGGTTCTGAAGCTTATACGGAAATTTTCAATTCGTTTGGACTTTAATGTAATTCGTTATGGATTATTTTAAATTCACGTCACATTACTGACACTTTTCATTTATAAGCCTGGTAATTCAATTGTTTGTTTAGATTTATAAAATTTGTTGGACTTGCAACTTTCTGTTTCTTAGTTTAAAACCATAAAGTCGTAGCACGTCTTCTGACATGATGTTGCATAAGGAAGACAAAAAAAATGACTCCAAACAAGAACTGAAAATGACTGCTCAGGTTTCTATTTATATACACATTCAAGAGTATATTTGGACTATACGTTGCAATATACCCATCGTGATTGCCCATCATCCAAATAAGAATTAATTTAATTCTTCTAAGATATCACCTAAACGATCTATCCAATGAGAGAAAGACCGAATTTCGCAATCATATTTACTAATAATTTTATTATTAGTTATTAGCAACACATACGTAAGCATTTATTTATAAATCCTATGCAAATGTGCGTTCTCTAATTCTTTAGAATACACTCTATGCACGTTACAACCAACTAAAGATAACCACTGCAATTTACCGTAATCAATAAACATTAAAAAACAGATAGAATTATGTACCAAGAGTTACAAAAAGTATACCTAACAATATATTAATACTTAACTCCTATCATACAACAGTGAAACACTCTGAAAGATGAAGAAATGCAGCCAAAAACAACAAAATGACCCAGCGCTTTCACATAAGAAAACTTCATTCGTCAACGTTATGACGAGTGCATACGTTCTCCGCGATCTTCGAATATTCGGGTTAACATATTTCTTTGTTAGCTGGCATTAATTTAAATGTGCTTTCACAGTGGTCATAGTTAGGACCACCACTGTCATAATTAGAATGAGGATCGTCATCAGAGTGAGGATCACCAATGTCATCATTAAAGTGAGGATCACCACCGTTATCATTAGAGCCAGGATCACCATCGTCGTCATCAGAAACATGATCATCATTAATGTCAGGATCACCATGGTAATCATTAGAATGAGAATCAACACAGTCATCATTAGAGTGAGGAACACGACTGTCAACATCAGAGTGCATCACTATCGTTATTATTAAAGGGAGAATCACCACCGTCATCATTAGAGGGAGGATCACCGCCGTTATCATTACAGTGAAATCAACACTCATCATTAGAGTGAGGAGCTCCATCGCTATCATTAACGTGAGGATCACCACTCACATCATTCGAGCGAGTCACCACTCTCATCGTTAGAGTGAGGATCACCACTGTCATCATTAGAGTGATGATCACCACTTACATAATTAGAGTGAGGATCACATCTGTCATCTTTATAGTGAGGAACACCACTGTCACCATTTGAGTGATGATCATTAATGAGATTACTACTGTTATCATTCAAATAAATGTTGGTGCCTGGTTTTAATAAAACAATCAATTAGTGTAAATTATGTACGTTTTTATAAACTTTTATTAAAGGAATGTCCGTGTATTTTAAATGCATACATGAACTACATCTCACAAAAACATCATGTTTAAATGAACAACACAATTGATATTCATGGCATTTATAGAAAAGAAGATAATAGGAGGACCATAAAAGGGCATGGAATCACCAAACGTTCCTAAATTGACCAAGTCCACATAGAAAATGTAACCGTTATATCAGCGGCTTTTCTATTTTTAGTAACAGTGGCCATAATTGATTGTGGTTATATATTAATTACACCAAATGATTTATATTACATACAATTGCACATACTTGCATTACAAATACTAATAAGACTGACCGCAGTCAAATTTGTGTTGACAGAATGAATATAATGAATGAATTCTGCACTGCCATTACCTATGTGCCCGCTATAAATTGTTGTTTTTTTTACCTCTGCAAATGACAATTCGCTTCTTTTGTTTTTGGAACTTCTATTTCTATTCATATTGATTATAAATATAAGACACACTTATGATTTAAACATGAAAGATGGTATAATTGAAGAACGTACACCACTACACACACAGAACGGTTAAGTAGTTGAACAGTGAATGCATGTGCATCATGTTGAAGCGAGTAGGAAATACAACGTAAGCGCAATGAGGAACAAGCTAGAGATAATTCAAATATTTAAATATATTCCAGTCAATCTAACTCATTATTATGATTCAGTTAACATTATTTTAAAACATATAGTTAATTCTCACCTACATTTTTACCTGTCCCCTTTCAGTTTGGTTTGTGTGATTATATTTGGTCATCATACATAGGTTCAGAGACATCATCGTATGACACATGCGAAAATGCGCAACGCTCGTGTTTTTTAAAAAAATGGATTTTCGCTGGTATCCTTCAACACTTACCATGTGTGTGTGTGTGTGCGAGAGAGAGAGAGAGAGAGTTGTGTCTCACGTTTAACTTAGTTATAAGAAAAGAATTATCAATAACTGTATAATTATTTTATTACATTGCTAATAATCAATCAGTGGAAATTCATTACCGAATTGGAGAACATAATAGCGAGTAACCGTGGAAATCCCGCTCAGAGTATGAAATTCATTTCTTGTACCGAAGTTTACTATAACTTATTAAAACTTTGCCGAAACAATGTAAACCTTACACATTAGATGAAAATGTTTAATATTTTGTGAAAAACGTCCAACAATTCTTTAGTAAGTTTGAAAATATGAAATGGAATAAATATTTCATGTATTTGCTATTACTAATACTTTCTGTGACCGTTGGAGTAAAACATCATCGAAAGGAAAGTTTATTTCCAAAAATTGTTTAAAGAGGCTAGAAGTGGGCGAAATAATTATATAGGAAAAAACATATTATTTATAACAGTGTTAGGTTCAGTATAATCATGAAAAAAAACAACAAACAAACAAAACAAACAAACTAAAAGGTAAAATTATAAACACAAGAACCAGGAAGACAAAATTCAAATTCATATTGCTATAGCAAACTGACCTACGAAACAATATATCATGACGCTTGTGTATATTCTTTTGTTTTTTTTTTTGTTGCAGCAGTAATATTAAGCGGGCACAATTAGGTAAATTATAAAATGTCATTAGATACTATCTTTTCCATTTAGTGATATATGACCAACATTATTTTCTGGTTATTTACATTAACAATTTATTTTGTTCTAGATTTTTGGGAAAATATTCAAAACCTCAAACTGATAAACGAAATTGATTAAGTAGTCCTCCCAAAAAAGGCACAGATGCACTTTAAAGGACTGAGACCGATTTTGTCAGA